CATCAGATCCTGGGCTGGGATGCATCTCACCCTGGACTCAGCTATTTTGAGTTTGTTTACTGTATATGGCTGTTCCCCGTTATGATTTTTAAAATGTATTGTGGGCTTGTTTTTAAATTTATGTGGTAGCCAGGGTCACCGTTGATTTGAGCAGCTTCTGAAATATAAATAAATAAGTAAATGCACTCTAACAGCCTTGTTTCATTATATTTTTATCATTTTAAATGTAGATTTATAATGTCTAGGAAGGGAGGGAGGGAGGAAATTCTAGATTTAAAGAAAATAAACAGACAAGAATATTTATTTCAGTGAAGGTTCAGGTTTTAAGCCAGATGAAGTTTACAATTTAGCAGTGCTTTTTTTGTTAAAAAAAAAAAAAAAGGTGCCGGAACTTACACATGTCATACAACTTGCCTTGCCTACCCTACAAGTTTCCATACAAAAAAGGTGCCGGAACTCCGTTCTGGGCGTTCTATGACAAAAAAAAGCCCTGCAATTTAGACTGTCCAAAAACAGAGACTACAAACTGTTGAGTTCTCACTTCACACTTTGTTTATTAAACCATGTTTACATGTTGTGCTAAGCTACAAAACCATTTTTCACAAATCATAAAGTCTGGAACTAAAATAAATCAAATCAATACCATCCTGTGGCTTAGTGTGTATTGAGTTACTAAGTCATTAGTATGTGTTGCATATATCAAATCATCCCTGACATTCTGGGATACAGAAACAGTGACTTTCTGCCTGCCCTCCCATTTCAGAAAAGGTTGACCATAACTCAGATTTCAGTAAATATTTCCAGAACTGTGGAAACTGTTTTGTAAAAAGAGGTTTGTGAGAATAGGGAAGAATTGTTGACCCTCCCAAAATTCAGCAGCACGTAACAAAATAAAATAGGTCAACACTAAACGGATTGATTAAAATATTTGTCATTATCCATATTTCCATGGAGTTCTTTTGTCTTTTTTGGTTGGAGAGAAAATAAGGATCCACCCATTTTCTGTCAGTTAGGATAAACAACGTTGATTTATGTTTCACTCTTTTCCCAAATAGGTTCAACAGGATTAGGGAGATACAGAGAGATTAACTAACTATAGATGTTCTCGGTCTATTGTTTTCAACAACTATGCCACTTTCTAAGGAGTCAGATTATTTCAGTTCTCGCTGATTATTCAATTTATATCCACTTTCTGATCTAATTTATATATTTGGGTCACAGATGGCACTGGAGAAAAAATGAGTGGAGGGGGAAAATGCACCCCAACCACAATCTGTCAAAACAGTTGCTCCATCAACAGCAATTAGAGGTACCTGCGAGACTGTTTTTGCCAATTAAAAAATTGCAGAAGAAATCATGTATTTGTGAAAGATCCATTTGGAACAAAAATTTGCAGGAAAATGCAAATAAACCATAGGAAAAATTTAGAGAAAATTGCATACAAATGCTTTGAATTTAGGAAAACTTGCAATCAAGCAATGGGTATGGATGATATGCTTGATTATTTTTTAAAACAATATTCAAATAAAAAAAGCCAAATGAAAACTGAGAAAAACAATATGGGTTTCCTCTATATTAATTTAGGGCAAGGGTAGGCAACCTTGGCTCTTTTATGATTCGTGGACTTCAGCTCCCAGAATTCCTGAGCCAGCATGGCTCAGCTTGGAAACCTCTCCCTTTCCCCTCAGCATGGCTGGCTCAGGAATTCTGGGAGTTGAAGTCCACGAGTCATAAAAGAGCCAAGGTTGCCTACCCCTGGATCTAGGGGAAACAACACATGTACAAAAGAGATGAGACTTTAGTCACACAATCACAGATGTCATCCTGACTTTTTTTTTCTTCCTGTGGATGCCCTTGGATCAATTCAATATTCCTAATCTGTGCCCAAAATGTACATTTTTGTTTGCATAATTCACCCAACAATATTTATTTTCTTCTATTGCTATTGATTTATTTAAGCATGATAAAACAAGCAGAATCAGGCAGTTCTTGGGGGGGGGCCGGGACGGCCCATGTTACATGCTGTTCTGAAAGCTGCCAATCTACTTGTGAGTCCAATTCAAGGTGTTGGTTATCACCTTTACAACCTTTCAGGGCACAAGTCCAGGCTATCTAAGAAATCAGCTCACCCTGATGGGACATTAGACATCTCCACCACCTGTGCTGGCAAAAGGGGCATGCTGCAGATCCTTTCAGCCAAGGAATTTCGGTTGGGAAAGTCTAGAAGAAGAGCCTTTCCTGGCGTGGGTCAAAAGGCCTTGACGGCCAACTAGTCTTGGTCCCTAATGTTGAGACGCTAGAAAGAGTACAGAGAAGAGCAACAAAGATGATTAGGGGACTGGAAGCTAAAACATATAAGGAACGGTTGCTGGAATTGGGTATGTCTAGTTTAACAAAGAGAAGGACGAGGGGGGGACATGATAGTAGTGTTCCAATATCTCAGGGACTGCCCCAAAGAAGAGGGAGTCAAGCTATTTTCCAAAGCACCTGAAGGCAGGACAAGAAGCAACGGATGGAAAATAATCAAGGAGAGAAGCAACCTAGAACTAAGGAGAAACTTCCTGACAGTTAGAACAATTAACCAGTGGAACAACCTGCCTTCAGAAGCAGTGAATGCTCCAACATTGGAAGTTTTTAAGAAGAGACTGGACAGCCATTTGTCTGAAATGGTATAGGGTTTCCTGCCTGAACAGGGGGTTGGACTAGAAAACCTCCAAGGTCCCTTCCAACATCATCATCATCATCATCATCATCATCATCATCATCATCATCATCATCATCATCATTATTATTATTATTATTATTATTATTATTATTACTATTATGGGGTTGTGGCACATTGGAGGTGGCTGATGAACTTGAATTTTTAAATTTAAGAACTTTATTTATTGTTTTAATGTTTTATATACTGCATGTTATTCAATGTCTGTAAGCCACCTAGAATCGCTTTTGGCAAGATGGGCAGCATACAATTTTGATAGATAACTAAATTATTAAATAAATAAACAAACAAACAATGCTTCTGTTGTAGGGCCTGTGGACCAAACAAGTAACGCTGCTCTTCATACCATAAGTTCTCTCAGCTTAGTGGCTTCTGAACACCAGCCTTCAGCGTCCACTCCTTTATTCTCGTTGTTAGATAACGCTCCAAAACCTAAACTGGAAAGCGTTCTGGTAAATCACAATGAGCCGCGGTCAAGTTCCAAAATTGGCCTCCGTGTGCACTTTAAACTCCCTGAAGATGATAAGGGAAGTGAGACATCATCAGAAGATGGAAGCGGACTTAAAAATCAAGCCAGACCAAACAGTTTTCCCAATAAAATCAATGGACAGGCTTTTAAACTTCAGGAGCCCTCTTCACCCTCCAAAGAGCCACCACCCGTCCTGGCAAAACCTAAACTGTGAGTAAGAAAATACCGGTTGGCACATATTTAATGCCAGAGGGACATCCCATTATAAGTTCAATGTAGCTCTTCTTACTTCATAAATTAATACAGCATTGAGCGCCTGGGCGGAGGAGGTGTAGATTGTTGCTCTTTGTTTCCTAACTTCTTCAATATCTTTGTACATTTGAAGCCAATCAGAACACAGAGTAATAGAAAAGTTACTTGTGAATAAATACGTAAGCATCATGCTTGCAGGAAGTGAAATATGTTGTCAATCTGGAAATATTATTTTGCCATAGAACAGGAATATCCAACCTTGGCAACTTTAAGACCTGTGGACCAACTCTCAGAATTTCCCAGCCAGCCATGCTGGGTCTTAAAGTTCTCAAAGTTGGACATCCCTGCTATAGAACAATATTAGGTCTCCAGATTCTTTGGTAATACCTGAAGAATAAAGGATACCTACAAAGAAAAAACTAGGATGTTTTTGGTGAAGTTTTGTTGTGACTGCCTCTAGGGCCATGGTGGCGAACCTATGGCACATGTGCCACAGGTGGCACGCAGAGCCCTCTCTGTGGGCACGCGTGCTGTCACCCCAGTCCTAGGCCTTCAGCTGGGTTTTATAAAACCTTTTTGCTTTAGGCCTCTGCCGCCGTGTGCAAAAAGAAAAAGACGGTTCAATCAATCAATCAATTTCAACTTCTCGCAGGAAAAAAAAGATCTCACAAAGTTGGAATTGATTGATTGAACTTTTTAGTCCCACCCAGTCTGCTGTTACCACCACGGCCATGCCCACCCAAAAGGCCATGCCCATTCAATGGGCCACACCCATCCAATGGGCCACGCCCACCCAGCACCCGATGATACATAAGTGGGTTTTGGGTTGCAGTTTGAGCACTCGGTCTCTAAAAGGTTCACCATCACTGCTCTAGGGGGTTTAACGGGGTGGGCAAAGGGGAGATAAAAAGTCAAGTGAGTGGTTGTGGCTGTGTGATCAAAGTCCAACCCTTTTATTGACGTGACACTTGAAACACACATAAAGAAGGACAGGCTTTGAATAACACAGTCATTGCCGCCATCTTGACTCTTTTGACCTCCCCCCAGTAGATGTCCCTGCTTACCTCGCTCACAAAAAATTATTGGGAGATTCAGATTATAATGTAACCTCCCTGTGTTCTTCCACTGCCTTTCCCACATTTTCTTCTTACTATTGAAATTCTGTGAAGGGGCAGAAGAAAAGATGAAATAGGTGTAGCTTTGATTAATAGACTTTCTGGCTGGAAAGAAAAAATGAACAGTATTTCAGGTCCATGGAGGTGGGGACATCATCTGTTTGCAATACAGATTTTGAATTGTTTGTTGTGCCTTCTTCCAGGTTTTACTTGCTCTAAAAAAAAAAAAAGCTTTGAAAATGCAAGGCAAAATGTATCATTTTGATCTGGTTTCAAAGCTGTTCAATGCCTTCCAAGCATCCTATAATATAAATTGCATCTGTTTTTATTTTTTGGATACAGGGATGCCACCCAGTTAAAACAACTACATAATCAGGTCTTGTTTGAGCAACAGCAAATCCAACAACCGTCTCACCCAGTTCCACCAGAGTCATTATTCAGCACCGGTCCAGGAAAATCTGCTACTTTGCCCATTCAGCACCAGCACCAGAAGCAACCTTCATCAGCTACATACAAGCAGAACAAGGTTCCTTCTACGCAGACGTTCACATACACCCGACCTAAACAGTTCCTGGCATCTCAAAACACTTCAGCCGCTGGTAGCCTTTCTAGCTTCAACAATTTACCTCAAGGAACCCAGAAAACGGCAAAGAAGGAAAGCTTCTTAGTATCTCCTCCACCAGCCCAATCAAAAGCTCCAGGAGGGTTGACAAACCAAATGGAGCAGCCTTTTCCAAGTCCCAGAGAACCTACGTTGCCACCACTTCTGCTCTCTGTGTCTAACATGAACCAGTTCCAGCCCCAAAATGTGCCTCTTATACCTCTGTCTCCTACTGGTCGGATCCAGAATCCCGTGGCTTTCCTGAGTGCTGTTCTACCTGCCCTTCCTTCTACACCCCCAACAAACGCCATGGGCCTACCTAAAGGTGCACCTGCTATGTAAGTAATGCAAACGTTGAATGATCAGGTCAGTGAAAATATACTGATCTGGCTATCTGTTCACTCAGTAAGTTAAAGTAGCTTTCCTCTCCTCCTCCTTCTCTGTCTTCTCATTCTCCCTTGCATCCTCCTCCTCCTCTCCAATTACAATTTTACCTATTTTTCTTAATATCTTACACCAGGGGTGTCAAACTCAATTTCATTGAGGGCCGCATCAGCATTGCGGTTACCCTCGGGGGGGGGCTGGATGGTGTGGCCAGGATGGGTGCGTCGTACTGGGTGGGCGTGGATGGAGTGGGTGTGGTCTACTGGGTGGGTGTGGCCAGCTCTAAATCGTTCGGGTCAAGAGTGCCTGTGGGGGCCTGGGCAGGAGTGGGACAGATCTGAGGGTCTCTGGCAGAAGGGGGTGGGACCAGGGCAAGTGTCCACTGGAGGAGCCTCACATGGTCCACTGGAGGGCCAAGGCAGCGGGGGCCGTTCCCTCACTTTTTCCAGGATGGCTTCGCGGGCCACATGAAACCACTTTGCGGGCCGCATGCGGCCCCCGGGCCTTGTGTTTGACATGTCTGTCTTACACTTACCCCTGGATCATCTTTGCTTTTTTTTTTTTGTTCCCTGAAATTGACTTGACCGAAGAGAGGATATTATATAATTTAAAATGTGTGGTTGCAATAGTGTGATTTCATTATTTATGATTAAAGCTGTAGATGAGGTTATTCTTTCCCACTCAATTCAGTGGTCCTTTCAATAGTCCTTTTTTGGACTATTTGGAGAATCATGTTGAATTGTTTCCAAAGGTTCACAAGATACTTTTTCCTCAGTTAAACACAGAGGACAGCCCTTTGTTATGCTGTTCTGCAGAATTCCATATTTTTGTTATTATTGTTTAAGTCTGTTTGAACTGTTTGCAGAAGTCATCTAGAGAACCTTCCACAACATAACGTCCCACCAGATGTATCAAATTATAATTCTCTTACATCCCAACATAACATTAAATGACTTGATTGGGGGCTGTAAGAAATATATAATCCATTTCTAGAAGGCAGCAGGCTGGGGGGGGGAACTAACTCAGAGGTTTATGTTTTACCCAGTACATTCCATCTCATTTTCTTTGGTCTGATTTGACCATCACTCTAAAACAAAAGTAAAAAAAATAAAATGGATTCACATTATGTGCCAAATAGCCAAAAACTATCCTTTGGGTCCTTAAAGAAACAGTGACAACGTGACTCGCTAAATGTATCATTGAGTCAAAAATTAGGATATAAATCAAACAAATAAATAAAAGTCAATCAATAAAAGTTGAGCCTAGGAGGAAATGTATCACCTCTGGAATAGTTAAATATGAACGCTGCTATATCAATGACTATAAATTCATACATACACTTAATGGCAGGGTTGTCGCTCTGTTCAAGCAGTTTCTCAGGACATCCTGATTCTGCCTTGCCATGAGCATTAGAGCAACTTCTATTAATACCAACTCTTATCAGCTTGCCAGTGTCCTCATTCTTGGAAAACCAACCTTCACACTGGATTGATTCTTGCCTTTGTAGCTTTCTGATTTTATCTTTTAGTGCTCCTTTGCTTCAGTGTTACCTTATCTGAGCGGGCTTGCTTTTGTAAAATCTATGTTTTAAAATGTGCAGCTCCTTCCAGGGATTTTTGAACTAAAAATAGGATATAACAATATCCAATCACCACTGTCAGCCCCATCGATTGGGATGTTCCCAGGGAGGTTAGCAGGGTCAAACCAGGAGGGATGATTGGGTGATTGAAGCCCCACCCCGTTTTGACATGTGCGTTGCAGGCACATAAAAAGGGACAAGGCTTTGGTTACCCCTCCAGTGCCTATCACTGACTCCCCAAATGTTCATCATCATCATCTCCTTCATCGAAGGGTTGAAATCTGAGTAAAAATATAAAAGATTCCAGTCATGCCCCTGCATAATAGTTAATTTCTTTCTTTCTAAATGGAAACTGTCCAGGATCAAAATGTGTCTGTTTAAAAATAACTAAGTAAAATGAGCTCCAAGTGTACCCTCCAGATATTCAGTCAAGATGCTGAACTCATCCATTTCCTCGTTCTCCCAGATAGAAATTGGGAGATTTCTGTAATTTATACTGCAGCATTGGACAGTCTCTGTTTCAGCAACTAGATGAGATTGAGAAATCATATGTACAGCACCTGCTGCCCTGGAGATTATCTATCCAGCCATTCTGTTGGAATCATTTACTTTTGCCTAGTTAAAACATATGTGGCTTTCCAAAACTTACTGACACCAGCCCCATCAATCCTAGCCAGCAGTGGAAAACGGAACNTACCCACTATAGAAGAATGGTCACTTAAAGTCTCGAACTTAGCAGAAATGGCCAAGATTTCCGCTTATGTGAAGGATTATTCACAAGAAAGATATATTTTGGTTTGGAGAAGATGGATAGATTATATTGAGCGTAAATATGGGACCAAAAAATATCATTTGGTTTTTGAGTGAATTTTAGAGTATTATTGTTGTATAAAAGTTAGAATAATTTATTTAGTACTATTTTTAATTATTAAAGTGATGTTATTATTATTGTTTTTAATAACTGTATATTTGTTTAAAAGAGAGTTAAAGGAGGTTATAGATACGTTATTTTAATAGTTGATTAATGTTAGAGTATGATTATTTTATTGTTAACCCTGTGATTGGCACTGGGAAGTGAGGGGGGAGGGAGTGGAAGGGTGGGTTGGGGAAGGGGGGGATTTATATTGTAAAAATTTTATAAAATTTTCAATAATAAAAAAAAAATCCTAGCCAGCAGGAGTCATGGGAGTTCTAGTCCCACAATATTTAGAGCAGGGGTCTTCAAACTTGGCCCTTTTATAACTTGTGGACATCAACTGCCAGAATTCCTCAGCCAGCGTGTCTGGCTGAGGAATTCTGGGAGTTGAAATCCACAAGTCATAAAAGGGCCAAGTTTGAAGACCCCTGATTTAGAGGGTTTAGCCTAGTTTAATGTATTGAAAGATTGTTCTTAAAAACTGGTCACCGTGATCCAAAAAATGTTGAGACCCCAGAAAGTGTGTAGAGAAGAGCAATAAAGATGATAAGGCATCTGGAAGCTAAATCGTATGATGAACTGTTGAGGAGTTCAGTATGTCTAGCCAAGTGAAGAGATGGATCGGGGGGGACATGATAACAGTCTTCTAATACTTGAGGTGCTGTTAGAGAGAAGAGGGAACTGACTTATTCTCCAAAGCATCAGAAGGCAGGGTAAGATTCAGTGGGTGGAAGCTTGTTAAAGCGAGATCTAACTTGGAAGTAAGGAGAAATTTTCTGACAGTGAGAAATTAACCAGTGGAAAAGGTTGCATTCCAGAATTGTGGGTGCTCCATTGCTGGAGGTTTTCAAAAGTAAACTGGTCAACCATTTGACTGAGATGGTGTAAGGTCATCTGCCTTGAGCAGGGGATTGAACTACCGGTAGATGACCTCTGAAGTCCCTTCCAGCTCTATGATTCTGTGTTCTGTGTCTTAAAAGTCCATGCTTCAAGTCCATGAGGAGGATTCCATGATACATCAACCCAACCTCTCTAGTAAAAAAAGAAAAAAGCCATATGGCTTTTTATATAGGCACAAAAAGCATTAAAAAATTAAACTTGTATAGCAATAATGATAACAGCCGATGGCATTTGATCTAGTATAATATTGCATTGCTAGGTGTTTTTAAGCATACCTAGATTCTCTTTCTATTCTATATTTGCATTGCTAGTGTAATTTTATTCAGCATTTGTAAACTAAATGGTATATGAATTCACAGGACCAAATAGTGGAGCCACTATAGATTTTTTTAACAAAAAGCCATATGGAAAAGGGGTTCTATAAAGACTCAGAGATATCACAGGATTCAGAAGCCATCTGAGATAGTGAGTCAGCTTCCAGCACTGTCAAGTCTTCTTGTTTTTGCCCCTCGGAATAGCTGACGGATTAATTCAGTACTTAAGCAGGTGTTAAACTGAGTCTCAATTTCACAGGGGAAGCCATGGAACGCTGAAGAAAAATCTCAACCCTTTGCAATCATCAACAGAGGATGCTATGAAAGATCACAAAGCCATGGTTGTGAAAGATTTAGAGAAACGGCTGCATTTATGGAATGATGACTCTTTCCACAGTCAACAGGTCAGTTTGTTAAAATGTGTGTGCTTCTGAAATGTCAACATTTGGGGGAGCTACACCTGGAAAAAGGAAACCTCTCACGTAGTGTGGCATTCAATGGGCAAAAGGTGTTGATTGCCTCAAATGGAGCCACTTGACATAGAAAAGAGGTAAAATTCTATCCAAGACATGCACTCCCACACCCTGTTCCAAAGTCCCAAACTTGGGAAGGATTTTATAGACTGATCCCTTAAAGTGAATGTGAATATTTCTTGCTTACAATCACTTATTATAGGATATCATGATTTGTCTAAAACAGGGGTATCTTGTGGACATATGGACTTTAGCATGGCTGGCTGGGGAATTCTAGGAGTTGAAGTCCACAGGTCTTAAGGTTGCCAAGGTTGGACTCCCCTGGTCTAAAGCATACAGATTTGTCAATAATTAATAGTTGTTTATACCAGAGCTGTAAATAGCATGATTTCAATTATCTTGGAACCAGCCATTTCCCCCTTCTGATGAGGGGACAGGTTGACTTTGAGGAGAATGATACATACTCAGTCACTAACTACTCCAATGACTTCCAGTCGAGACAATTCTCTCACCTTGCAAAGGTGAAAGTCCTATCTCACTGCCTAGAGGTTCTTAAATTCTGAACAGTGATCAGGATCAGGCTTAATCCCGGCATGATGGAATGATTTAGGGGTCCACTTTGGTTATCTTCTATTTTTGACTGTGGATTAAATTGCGCCATCCTGCATGGGCTTAGTTTGTAACTTGAGGGCCCTGATAACGCTCATGGTTCCTTCGCTATGGCTAAGAGGCCCTTTCCACAATTGCATTTGATGTGACAGTTATGATTGCCTTTGTCTGGGAGGCCCTGCTCACAGTCACTCCTGTCTTAGTCACCTCTTGTCTGGACTTTTGCAGTGCACAACTCCAACTGATCCAGAATGCAACAAGTAGAGATGGGATCCATAGGTTCGAGAGTTGCGTTGATTACTGGTTTCCTTCTGAGTGCCATTCAAGATGTTGGTTATTACCTTTAAAATCCTATATAGCTTGCAATTTGGCCACCTTCTCTTAATGACTTCTCCTCAACCTGTAAAATGAGGAATGATGGGATCTCTCCAAGTTCCTCCTCTTCAGGAGTGTCATCTTCAGGGACCTCTCTCAGTAGAGCTACCACTTCCTCAGTAGAGCATCACCTGATTAGTTTTGCAGAAAGCCATTAAAACTTGGCTATTCCAAGAAATATTGTTGTGGCTTGTTGTGATTCGTATTAAGTGGAATCCTTCTGTTATGGATTTCTATGTCCTATTGTTGTTCCACTGGTGCAAGGGCCAATGCTGGTCCTTGTTGCATTGATTACTACTTCAATTTTCTAATGGAAGAATATAAACATTTCAGAATCCTGTTTGGAATGACATAAATTGCAGTAAACAAAAAAAAATGTGCTTAATATGGAGTGTGTCAACAATATACATCAATAAGAGATCATACTGGGCATCATTAAGTCAAGATTATATTGATATTTAGCTGCTGTTATCAGCACAGTCCATTGTAATGAGTTATATATTCAGGATGATGCCTATCTTGCTTTTAGCAAGGTTGTTGAAGACATCACTGTGTCTCCCATTAGTTTGTTTTTTTTAATTAACAACAAGGAATTGTACTAAGTTTATTCTTCAGGAGGAAATGGACTGCCAGTTTTTCCCAGAATATCTTTAGAACAGACATGTCAAACACAAGGCCCGGGGGCCGGATGCGGCCCGCAAAGTGGTTTCATGAGGCCCGCGAAGCCATCCTGGAAACAGTGAGGGAACGGCCCCCGCTGCCTTGGCCCTGGCCCAGGCCAGCTGGGAGCCAATGTACAATTTTGTGGTGGCCATCTATGCTGAAACGCATTCAGTCTTAGCTCCATAATCCCCCCCCGCATGGCCTGAGAGGAACAGTGAGGCTCCTCCAGTGGACCATGCCTTGGCACTTGCCCTGGTCCCATCTCCTTCTGCCAGAGACCCTCAGATCTGTCCCATTCCTGCCCAGACCCTCACAGGCATCCTTGACACGAACGATGTAGAGTTGGCCACACCCACCCAGTAGGCCACACCGACTCCATCCACACCCACCCAGTAGGTCGCACCCACCCTGGCCACACCCACCCGTCCCCCTGAGGGCAACCGCAATGCTGATGCGGCCCTCAATGAAATTGAACATGACCCAGAGGCATTCTGGCAGGGGTCTTCTCCAGATGGAGGGCTGCCAGCTGTCCCTGCTGCAATTGCCAGAGAAGCACCAGAGGAAGATTGAAAGGGGTACCAGAAAGTAGAACGGTGCACCTGCTCCGGTCCATCACTGATCTTGTATACAAGATCTTGTTTATTTATTTCTGTATTTAATATATATTTGTTAGGCAAGGAATACAAAACTAGAGGTGGCTTGGGAGCTCATTCCTCAGCTCCAAACAGTACTACCAGATATTTTCTCAGAAACTCTAATAGAAGGTATCACCAAGGAAAGGGGAATATAGAACCTCAAGGTCTCAGTCCTACAAGGTAGACCCAAGCAGGAGATCAAATCCCCAAGAAGGCTACTTTTGTTGAGATGGGCTATAATAACAGAATCTTGCCAATCTGAGTGTCCTGTCCTATACCTCTTCTTCCTTCTTATAGTTCGGTAAATTATGGCAATGCCAGTCTGAGGCACTTATGAATGTTATCTGAACATCCTGGTTTAGCTCCTTTCCATCTAGCTTCTGCATATCTCCATCAAGGTCATCTTACTTATTCTCCACATTGAAACCCCCCACAGCCATTTCAAAAGCCACTTTGCCCAAGCCTGCTTTAATCTAAAGGCAAAGTTACCTCCTCCTCAAGGTACAAAATATAAGCTACTATACATTATAGCTAAAGTAGACACATCACTGGGGTTTTTTTTTTAAAAAAATACTCAGTTCAGCCCCATCCACCGATATGATTGTCTGCATCCACTTGGTGACCTTCCCGTCCAAATTTGAAGAGTGGTATTAGACTACCCAAAGTTTGCTTATTTCTGGTCCAGGCAATGCCAAATGTTGGTATATTCTTTTGAACAGGCCAGTGCAGTAATTCATGCCATTGTGTTCATGTAATAGCTTGACAATCCTATTGTTTTCTTTTATTTATTTGGCCTTATATCTTTCACGAAAACTCAGAAATGGAAAAGAAAGAACTAGGCTTCCAACGTGCAGAGGGATACTCTTCGTTTTGGCATGCTTGCACACTATGCAATATTGTCTTCCTAACCTAACTCTAGACTCAGGTGTGGCAGCCACTTCTTTCACCAAATAATCTAGCACAAGGCTTTTCAACCAGTGGTACGGGTACCACCTGTGGTACATTGGCACCTGGCAGGTGGTACGCGACCATCCTAGAAAAGTGGTAGCGGGGGAGGGGAATGAACTGAACCAGTGGCGGCACCACACAAGCCTGAGCGAGAGATGGCTGGAGCTGCAGGGCTGTCAGGGCTCAGCGGAAGCGCCAGGATCAATGCTGCTTTCCAGCTGATCGGCGCTTCTTCGGGACTGTCAGGGCTCAGTGGAAGCGCCAGGATCAGCACCAGGCTCCAGCTGGAGCTCGGCACTGATCCTGGTGTTTCTGAGCCCAGAAGAAGCACCAATCAGCTGGAAAGCAGCACTGATCCTGGTGCTTCTGCTGAGCCCAGAATCAGCTGGAATGTTGCAGCATCTCCAGGGTCTTCTGATTTACATTCAGATGCTTGGCAACTGATTCATATTTATGACGGTCACAGAGTCCCAGGGTCATGTGAAGTGACCAAAACCTGCTGTAACCACCCAGCAGATGGGGAGGGGGGGAATAAAAACCAAACACCCCCCACCCCATCCCCGCTTCCTATCCTCAACAGAAATGCTCACAACAATGAAAACCTCGGACAGGAGGAAGAGTGTGGCCAGGCAGGCAGGCAGGTGTCTTGCTCGGCTGTAGCTTGGGGGGCACTTTTTTCAGTGCCATTGTAACTTCAAACAGTCACTAAGCGAACTGTTGTAAGTCGAGGACTACCTGTACTTCATCACTTTTTCCCCTTTTGGGGGGGTGTCATCAAGTTTTTGACACCTTGCTAGGCGGCTGGTGGAACTCTGATATTGCCATATCCTAAAAGTGGTACAATGGGTGAAAAGGTTGAAAAGCCCTGATCTAGCAGACAGATGCTAGACCCAAGGATAGGGTCAAAAATGTCAAGATGGCAACATGTAACTTTAAAAAGGGGGCGGGGTGGCTTCAATTATACTGCCACTATCTTGATTCTTTTAATACACACATGAATACCCCAGAGAGCTGGCTGGCAGACTGATAAATAAATATATAAAAATCCAGACTGGAACCGCCCCAAAGAGTGTAGGAGAAGGCTTTGCTTCCTCTCACCCCCTTTGTGACTTGAGTTCACATGTGAAAAAGGAAAAAAGAAATGCTGAGGCTACTCTCCCATCTCTGTCTGGAAGCCAAACTGAAAGGTTCATTTCAGATTTATTCTCCCATCCAGGAATTCTCACCATGTGAAAGTGGCAATAGCAGACCTAGCACAAGGCATGAGCAAAAACCTGTTAATTGGAATAGAACTGAATTATGGTTAATAGCCCAATGACATCAGGTATCCTGTCATTCTACTTTAGCATGCAGGGTCAACCTAGCTGGAGACTAACTCTTTCCTGTAATCATAGCTAAGATGGCTTTGCAAGTGACTAGCATTTTGGAAGAGATGAGACCTCATATTTTTAGATTTACTATTTTTATAGAATCCAGAACTGAGCTGTCTTCCTGCAAAAAGGTCCCAGGGCCAAGTGGGGCAAAACAAGCCAAATTAAACTGAGTAAATACCACATGACAGATTGTGAAATAGATTCAGGAATACCTATGGGATGACTAAGGAGATGTTTCTCCCCACATACCAGCATTGTCAACATTGTGATGCTTGTAGGTGGTCTCAACTTCTCCGTATCCACCGACTTACTAGAATGAAAGGAACCCTACAGAAGTGAAAATTAGCATCGGCACAGCCAATAAATGTTTCAGTCTCTTCCTTTGGATTGAGCTACTGAATAATTTCTAGTAAATCACAAACACGTGGCATATTTGAGCAGATGGCAGAAACAAGGGAGCTAAAGTTCCTGCTTGCTGAAGGAAAGAGTAAGATAAATTGCTGAAAAGATGATGATAAAATATCACCCAGTGTTTTGCATTAGTGATATATGGCTCCTTTAGAAGCCTCCCTCATTCTGCAGTCACTGAACCAATAGATGAGAGTGTGGCATGTTGTATAAGTTCACAAAGGTTGTACTCCTATGCACACTTGCTTGGGATTCAACTCGAGTAATTACACCCAATGGGATTGTCTTTAGAGCAGGGGTCTTCAAACTTGGCCCTTTTGTGAATTGGGAACTTCAACTCCCAGAATTCCTCAGCCAGACACGCTGGCTGAGGAATTCTGGGAGTTGAAGTCCACAAGTCATAAAAGGGCCAAGTTTGAAGGCCCCTGCTTTAGAGGATAGAAGCACCAAGTTACAACCTTTATCGCCATTGTGATGGACTGATTATTATTCTCCTCATAGTTTCAAGCAAACGTCCCAAGGCAATTCTACACTTGTAACTTACTGTGCTGTACACAGGTAGTCCTTGATTTATGAACACAATTGGGACCAGAATTTCCACTGCTAAGCAAGGCAGTTGTTAAATGAGTCATGTCTGATTCTATGACTTTTTTTGCCACAGTTGTTAAACAAATTACTGCAGCTAAGTGAATGATACAATTGTTAAGCAAATCTAGGTTCCCCCATTGACTTTGTTTGTTAAAAGCTAGCTGGGAAGGCCACAAAGGGCAATCACATTGTCCCAGGATGCTGTAACCATCATAAATACATGCCCGTTGCTGAACATCTGAATTTTTATCCTGTGATCGCAGGGATGCTGTAGCAGTCATAAATGTGAGCACCAATCATAAGTCACTTTTTTCAGTGCTGGTGCTGTGCAATATATCAATAATAAAACAGGTTAGTTTGTAATTTAATTTCCATAGCAGTGGCTGAGTGATGCTATAAGAGGTCATAAATCACTAATTTGAAAATGGTCTGTGTATCCTTCTCTCTTCCTCTTTTATTAAAAGAAGCCCATCTAGGCTTGCTTCAGAATCAGTTTCAGATCTGGGAAATTGGAAAATTCCAGGATTTATTTTCAATAAAATAATACCCATAAATGTCTTCAGAACCTGTTCCTCACGCAATTTTCCTCATTCCTCGTTCCCTCCGCCAGAAAACAGCCTATGATGAAAATCTGGCTCGCGGGCTTCAGGGACCCAGCCCTCATTCCCCAACCTTCAAGTTTACCGCTGAGGAAGTATCCCAGGTACAGCCTTCCTTTCCCACACATGTGTGCCTCATATGTACATATGTTCAGTAGAATGCAAAACCTGAAATTCAGCTTCTGCCATTGAAATGAGGTTGGGGGTTTCTTACATTAAAATGAGCTGTGATCATCCTTGATTATTCATGGTAAGTATTTTAATAGCAGCCAAAGATGTTCATTACCAGAAATCTGGATGCAAAGCAAAGGTATTTCACAAACCACAAGAAATGTTCAAATTGAAAACCCTGTTGAAACATAGTTTAGTGTGTTTGCATTCTGATTAGAGAGCATTCAAGCAGCTCATGAGTTAACTGTTGTTAATTCAACTGTTGTTAAGATTCACAATCCATTATATTCCAAAGTAAGTAACATTTCCAGATTTTTATTGTGATGCATATTCAGTTTACAGGTTTTCAGTTTGCAGCCGTCACTGCAGTTAAGAATCCCCAGCCTGAGTCCATACTATAGACCAGGGGTGTCAAACTACCGGCCTGCAGGCCGAATGCATCCATGCAAAGGCCGTGCCACCCCAGCTCGGGCAATGCAAAAAAAAGTCACGATACGTCATGACACATAACGTGACGTGGCGAGTTTGACACCCGTACTATAGACATTCTTTTGACATTTTCTATAGGCCAAAAATGTTGTAATTCCTCAGCAAAATCTATATATTACCGAAATCATTGTATGAGCATTATAACTACCCAGGTTTCTTCCATGTTCCAAGGTAGCATTCTGGTTTGCTGCCATGTATATTATTCTGTTTCTAATATTCTCAATCCCTTACAGTACTAAAAATAAAATACCTCAGGATGTCTGTAACTAAAAATCAGGGATATCTAGGGGGGGTGATAAAAAGTGAGGATGGTGGCCACAATGGTGTGATCAAAGTCTGCCTGTTTTTATGTGTATTTTATGTATGATATACATAAAAAACAGGTAAAGCTTTGATCATACTGTTGTGCCTGCCATGTTGACTTTTTTGACCATGCTCTATAGGCACCTCTGTGTAAAATCATAAAGTACGACTAGCACCAAAAGATTATGGAGAGCAGATTTCTGAGAGATGTAGGACAACCCTGGTTTATGCTGGCATTAAATTTAAGGATAATGGAGGTTTACCTCAGAAGGCAATAATAATGTTTGCAATAGCTATATTTACTATTTACTGATTTTGCTCAAAATTGTTACTATGGATAAATACGTATGTTTGATTGGCAGAGACTGGCAATTTTGCTTTCCTACTTTTAAAGGCGTTTCATAACAACAAAGAGAAGCAAGCAACTGAGATGAGAGTTGGCTCATTTTCTAAAGCAATCTGCTGAGATATCTTTTGTGAAAGACAAAATTAAACAAGGTGAAATCTTATAGGCCTGGAGTTTGCCTGCCAACTGGGGAGCAGCCACGGAGCAGAGTTAACCTAATAATCTTGAAAGTAATAGGACTCCCAATTAGCAGCTGGACCTCTGGCTGCATTTTTCACAGATGTGTCATCTTCCGCATACAATTCCTTTTAAAGGGCTATTTAGGAGTCAGAATAAGTGCAATAAGGAAGATCTGGAAACAGGCTTCTCCCCAGCGAAAGAATGTGAATTTTTTTTCTCCAGGACTTCATTCCCATCAGTTCTGCCTCACCTCCCATCACAAAGGGTCCTTCTAGATGGATGACGTGTACAAGGATGGTATGACTAACTTTATTAATGCCCCCTCTCCGTTCTTGGGCTCTTCTCTTCCTTGTCTGAAGAGCAACCAAGAGAAGAAGCAAAAAATGGAAGGTTGGGGATGACAAGCTCATTCCACAGGATGGGTATGTGAGATTAAATGTGGACTGTCCCAAAATGACTTCTGAAGGGAGTGCTTTAGGGGTGAAAACATTGATGGGGTGGAAATGTCTTATGATTTCCCCATCAGGCAAACAGCTTTTTGTGAGAGAGGGGTTTCGAGTAAGAAAATCTCATGGGGATAGTTGAACATGATACTCCTTGTTCTATGATCCTGATTAAATTGAGAAGTAAGGGCTCTCATATATACAGTGGGGAGATTTCCCCACTCATATGTACAGTGGGGAGATTTCCATTTAGAACCTCCTACATTTTGGGTACAAGATAGCCTACCCTGAACTTCATCCTGCTGATATTATTATTATTTACCCAGTGTAAGAGCAAGTAGAGATATACATTCAATTTTCTTGGACATATGGACACCTAGGTTCACTTTTTCTATTCTTGTTAGTTTTTATCTTCTTTTCAAAAGTCTTAATTTAAAAAAATATACAAAAAGGGAGGAGCTATTGAGACCAATAGCTCCACTTGGTACAATCCCCCACCTCCACCAGTTTAAAAAGATGGTAATGAATCGAGTATCTTCACCTCATTTTCTTTTACTGGAATCAAAAGAAGACAGAGATTCAACTCCTTATCTCAACATTAATAGACAAAGTTGAAATCAAACAATATTAAGACAAGTAAAAACAGTGGATTAGAAAATGTTTAATTTGTGTTATCTTAAGTTTCTTAAGCCTGGAAACTCTGGGAGTTGAAGTCTACATATCTTGAAGTTGCTGAGGTTGAGAAATACTGTACTGAATTAATCAAACAGGAAATGATAAAAAAACATGTTCATGGTAAACATTCAGATTGCCTATTCTATTTTGAGCAGATTATTGCTTTATTTGTATGTGTATCGTGCTTGTTGTTATGCTTGAGTGAAGTTGCTTGTTGTTGTTATTTTCCATTTATAAGATCTTTGTGACCTTGGACAAAAAGCAACCCTTTTGTACGCTTCCAAAAATATCAGTGTTTGCACTGAAATCTGTAAATAGTGATGTGATTTTTTCATTGTTGCTCAGAATTAAATTCCTTTAAATGTGTTATCTGTTGTTTTCAAAGAAGGAAATTATTTTACAAAGTATTTAAGTTCCTTGAATTCCTCTTTTGCAATATTGATGTCTCTTTAGCCTGACAGTTCTACTCTGCTTCTTCCTTTTATTGAAAGAACAAGAAAAATAATGATGTCTGTCTTTTTTCATTCAGGACTCTGTTTTGAATTATTGTCATCAAATAAACTGATTAAAGGGCACAATGTAATAAATTCACACTTTTTTACACTTCTAATATGAGTTTGGCCTGAAATAAGAAGAATTGCTTTTTGGTCTCAAGGGATTTTCCAAAATGCTGGAGGCTGCAAGATAGATGGAGCCACCCCACACACACTGGGAGGGGATCATGGGTTTTAAGAAATAAACCCTAGCATAGCCATTTTAGAGTTTACGCTCCATATTTCATGGGTTTTCATTTTCAAAATGGTGTATTTCCAGCAAACTTGAACTTATTTTGGGGGTTGCAAAAGTGGCCACATGTTGCCCCACTGAAGACCTTTTGAATGATGGTAGGTGAGACCCACAGTCATCTCCAAATCTTTATCTAGGCTATTGCTGCAGAAGAAGGAGTGTTGCCTGTTGGCAAGAGAAGAAGGTACAATCTCTTCCTCACTATGAAATGCAGTGTTCAGTTGATTACTGGATTCTAATCATGCATCTGGAAGCATCCCTATTCAAAGGTCTAATCTGAAATCAGAGGTCTTCAAACTTGGCCCTTTTATGACTTGTGGACTTCAACTCCCAGAATTCCTCAGCCAGGCATGCTGGCTGAGGAATTCTGGGAGTTGAAGTCCACAAGTCATAAAAGGGCCAAGTTTGAAGACCCCTGTCTGAAATCATCCTTGGATTAGAGATGAAAAAAGGTAGTTGTGTTTATTCTTTGATGGAATCCTATGACAAACATTTAGGGAGGCGATTCCTCCTATTATTTGGAGCAATGCGCAAATGAAGAGAGTAAGAGGTTTTCCATCCACTTAGCCCCACCCTATTTGTTCATATGGTTTACGTTCGTTGAATCTCTAATAATTTGAATCTATTTATGATTGTTTTTGGCCATATGGGGGCCATTACCTGGGGGGAGGGGAAACTATATACCAAGAAATATGTATTAGCCTCCAGTGAGATATGTAGACTTGATTCAACTGTTGTTTTGCAGGAATATAAAATTTCCAATTTTGAGCAGAGATTAATGAATGAAATAGAGTTTCGGCTTGAACGTACCCCGGTGGATGAATCAGATGACGACATTCAACATGACGAGATCCCCACCGGCAAATGCATCGCTCCAATTTTTGACAAGAGACTCAAGCATTTCCGTGTCATGGAAGGATATCCAGCTACATTCACTTGCAAAACTGTTGGAATCCCCACACCCAAGGTAGGGCCAGCAAACAGCAGAACACTTCCCGGCAATTTCTCCTGTTAGTTGCTTTGATCTAGTCCAGGGGTCGGCAACCTTGGCTCTTTTATGAGTCGTGGACTTCAGCTCCCAGAATTCCTGAGCCAGCCATGCTGAGGGGAAAGGGAGAGGTTTCCAAGCTGAGCTATGCTGGCTCAGGAATTCTAGGAGTTGAAGTCCACGAGTCATAAAAAAGCCAAGGTTGCCTACCCCTGATCTAGTCCAATAAAAAGAGCTTCACCCCCCCCCCAAGACATTTGTATTTGCAGAATGCAAGGAAAGGTGGCTGTGAATATTCTATTTTGGAGGGTTGGGGTCCATGTAGATAAGCGGGAGATTTAAGAAGACTTAAGAAGCAGCAACTATTTTTTTCCTTTGGTGGATCAGAGTCAGATTTTGTTTTCAGAAAGGCAAGCCATGCCTATGACTCTAAATATTCAAAGGACAGAGTGCTGTGGAAGCCATGACAATTTCTAATTCCTATTAAATGGTAAGATCCTGTCTCTTAGGTTGTACCATTGTGTTTTAGGAGAGCTGATACAAATATGGCCTCTGTGTTTTACTTCCACTTCATTTTTGTACTCCATAGATGAACAGGAGGCATGTTACCACGTGTAGCTCCTTCTTAATTGCACACTGGAGGAAATATGATGCTCATCAGCCATTGCCCAGTTATGCAGTGGGGAACAAACACTTCCCCAATTTAGTGCCCTTCCAACTCCCATTAACTCTCAATGGGCATGGCTTTTGTCTATAATTTCTGCAGGTCATACGATCTGAAATCTAACACACTTGGAGATCACCATGATGATAAGAGAAGAGTTAGGATTTTTTTTCAATCAGTAATTACAATAAATACTCTATTTTGGAGGTTTGGGGGCCATGCAGATAAGCAGGAGAGATTTAAGAAGACTTAAGAAGTAGAAAATATTGTTTCTTTGGTGGATCAGAGTCATTTCCAGGTTGCTTCTCTCTTTGATCAGTTTCCAACCATTGTTTCTTGTCCTGCCCTCTGGTGCTTTGGTGAATAACGTGACCCATTCTTCTTTGTGGCAGCCCCTCAAATACTGGAACACTGTTATCATGTCTCCCCTATTTCTTCTTTTCTTTAAACTAGCCAAACCTGCAGCTGTTCTTTGTATATTTTAGTCTCCAGGCCTTTGATCATCATAATTGCTCTTCTCTGAATTTTTTCCAAACTCTCAATATCTTTTTGGTAATATGGTGACCAAAATTGGCTGCAGTATTCCAGTTTGTGATCTTACTAGGGTTTTATAAAGCGGTACTAATATTTCATGTGATCTTGATTCTATGCCTCTGTTTATACAACCCAGGATTATATTAACTATTTTGGCTGCTGCTGCACACTGCTGGCTCATAGTCAAGTGATCGTCCACTAGGGCTCCAAGGTCCCTCTCACAGTTACTGTTTTTAAGCCAGGTCTCACCTAATCTGTCCTTGTACCATTGATTTTTCCTGCCTCAATGTAAAACTTTGCTTTTCTCCACACTGAAACTCATTTTGTTGGATAGGGCCCATTGTTCAAGTAGTTTATTGCAAAATTAAAACTTGAATTGAGAATCTATTTGCTGCATTGTTTCATGCAATCCTTTTACTCTCAAATAAATAATCCCAATGAATTCAATGAGATTTTCTTCTAAGTCAATATACATAGGATTATATCATAAAATAAGGCTACAATAGATCTTTCTTTAAAAATCCCCCAGGTGTACTGGTTTAAGGATGGCAAACAGATATCAAAGAAGAATGGACATTTCAAAATGATTCGACAAGAGGATGGAACTTGTTCTTTACATATTGAGGCTCCTACAAATGATGATGATGGAAACTATACATTCATGGCTGCAAATCCTCAGGTACAAATTCCTATATACATACATATACGTACATTGTTTAAGCTTAAGAGAATGAAGAAAGACGCATACATTTTGAAAGTCATATTTAATGATTGTTTAAGTGCCATCAGTTGATTTTGAATCTTAGCAACAATGGCAATAACTGCAGTATAAGATTTATAGTTATAAAACTATGATTTTTGCCTTGTTTCTTAAATATCAGCCTTAAGTATCGCAAATGAGATCTAGCAATGAAGAATGAATCATGCACGATGGATGAACAAATAACGTTTCTTCTCTCTTGCATGTTCTGGCAGGGAAGAATCAGCTGCTCTGGTCGTTTGATGGTCCAGACTCCTCCACTGCGGGGTAGATTATCAACAACTATCCAGTCTCACAGGTAAAAATAAAATAAAATTTAAAAAGTATCTGGCGCTAAAGCATAGATTGTGAAGTAAGCATGAGTTTTATTTGGCAAATTCAAGTTGTAAGTTTGGAGATCCTTAGTTTCTAAGCAGTGTGTCAACGCTGCAAATACTGTATATTCTTGCTTTGACAATATGCAGAACTGTCTGGTATTTTTATAGTTAAACCAGGCAACAGGGAAAAAGGGAGGAGAATAAGGATAGCCAGGGAAAAAGAAACCTGAAGTAAACCACATCTTCCAAGTTGATTGGAAGATGTGAACCATGACCCCAAAATAAGGGGGGGGGGNGGGGGGGGGGAAATGCTTAGAATGTATATGCGTAACGGAAAAGAAGCCAGACCTAAGCATTTCCACCATGCTGTACTGACGTCTCTGTAACCTTAATAAATGCTTTTAGGAAAAAATATGCCTGAAAGTCCTTTTAAGTGTTTCGTTAATCAGACACATGACACAGTGACATTCAGGAGACCGTGTTTTCTTACCTAAAAGCACTTCTTCCTGCCCACCCTATCCAATATGCTGATGTGTTTGAATTGCAGGGGAAGGTCCCGTGTATCAGAAAGAGAGCGGGAACCTCTGCAGGAACGTTTTTTCCGGCCATATTTCCTGCAGGCACCCGGGGACATGGTAGCCCATGAAGACCGGCTTTGCAGACTCGATTGCAAGGTATTGGGATCGGGGGGGGAGGGGCTTTCTTTAGTCGCCTGCATAGGTGGTGCAGGGGGTGCACTAGTAATAGTGCATTATTATTTGCATTACTCGTTGCTCATATTCTCTAAGAACACAAGCACAACCAGGTAGCTTTCATTTGAGACAAGTTAAGGAAAGCGAATGGTGGATTTCCCTGGCATTACAACAAATGTCAGACGCTGCCATGAAAAGCATCCATCGGTGACTCTCATTAACCATGGGTTCCAGTTGATGTACATGCTTATTTCTTTGACATTCAGTTTGCACGTCACAAGCAGCATGCTTGGGGTTTGTCCGGTGCATTTGTATCTGAGCCAACTATTGTTTAACAAACCATGGTTAATGTAGGCTTATACAACCAATTACGGTTCACCATAAACTTTGATCCAGGCCTAGAATACGATTTCGTTTCCCTGGCTTTCATACATCATTTGTTCTACAAGAACAATGAACTTGGAATAGAGTTCGCTAATATGAAGAAGTATGTCGCTTGCTTACGACTGTTTTGTCCTCTGCTAGGTAAGTGGATTACCACCACCGGATCTGATGTGGCTTCGGAATGGCAAGCCTGTGTTACCCGATGCCACTCATAAAATGCTGGTCAGAGAAAATGGAGTACATTCTTTACTTATTGATCCTCTCAGACAAAGTGATGCTGGAATCTACACCTGCATAGCCACCAACAAAACAGGACAAAATTCCTTCAGCTTGGAACTGTCTGTTGTAGGTAAGTCTTTATTAGATGTTCTTCTTCATCCACCCTGAGCATTAGACCGTTTGTGTACTTCGTTAACTAGAACCCCTGTGGCTGAAAATTCAATCCTATGGAAATGTTCATTATCTTAATGAATTGTGTACCATGAATGGGGAGCTTGAGTGAATTCAAGAGCCAGAGCTTCTTCGCAGTGGGTGGGATGTCACTGGCCAAACCCCAAATCTTTATGTCATCCAGCTCTGGGGAGAACAGTTGTTAAGATGGCCAAAACACCTAGAATACTGACATAGGAGTCCTAGTGGACAATCACTTAAATATGAGCCAGCAGTGTGCTGCAGCTGCCAAAAAGGCCAACACAGTGCTGGGCTGCATTAACAGAGGGATAGTATCAAGATCACATGAAGTATTAATACCACTTTACAATGCCTTAGTAAGGCCACACTTGGAATACTGCATCCAGTTTTGGTCACCACGATGTAAAAAAGATGTCGAGACTCTAGAAAGAGTGCAGAGAAGAGCAACAAAGATGATTAGGGAACTGGAGGCTAAAACATATAAGGAAAGGCTGCTGGAATTGGGTATGTCTAGTTTAATGAAGAGAAGGACGAGGGGAAACATGATAGCAGTGTTCCAATATCTCAGGGGCTGCCCCAAAGAAGAGGGAGTCAAGCTATTCTCCAAAGCGCCTGAAGGCAGGACAAGAAGCAACGGATGGAAACTAATCAAGGAGAGAAGCAACCTAGAACTAAGGAGAAACTTCCTGACAGTTAGAACAATTAACCAGTGGAACAACCTGCCTCCAGAAGTGGTGAATGTTCCAACACTGGAAGTTTTTAAGAAGAGATTGGACAGCCATTTGTCTGAAATGGTGTAGGGTTCCTGCCTGAGCAGGGTATTATTATTATTATTATTATTATTATTATTATTATTATTATTATTATTATTATTATTATTATTACTATTTTATCTCTTTTCCATTGTAGAAAATGCACAGCCTCTGAATAATGTGGAGTGTAGAGTAATCTGGCCTCAGACCTGGGAAAGAAGAACGTGTGGGAAAGAGACTCAGAGCAGACAACCGTGTGGTCCTAAAAATGGGGCAGTGAAGATTTTGGATAGGCTTTCAATATTCTGTTTAATATACCCTTATAACAATAAAATAGCATTCCTATTGTCTGTTTCTTGACCTGATCTTCCTTAAAGAGCTGGCAAGGAAATAAGACTCCAGGAAGATCTTACAGAGTTTATAGGGTCAAGGTGCATACTGAGTAAACTGGATATTCTTATTCAAAAATTTAGGTTTGGCCAATCAGGGACAACATATGAAAAAAATGGGTGGGGCTTTGATTATATACTTACAGCCAGCCTAGAAGTTTTTAACACAGAGAGAGATGCACATCCTCATATTGCAGACAGCAGACACACACAGAACTTTTTACAGTCTTGCAGAAACCATTTTGAACCATTTCAACCATTTCAAGGTCAAAATAAATAAATAAATCCATTTGTTTCTTTCTTCTTTTTTCAGAAAAGGAAGTTAAAAAACCCCCAGTGATACTAGAGAGGCTACAGAACTGTGGGGTGCCAGAAGGACATCCCGTCCGATTAGAATGTAGGGTAATTGGGATGCCACCCCCAATATTTTTCTGGAAGAAGGACAATGAAACCATACCTCCCCGCAGGGAAAGGATGAGGTGAGCATGGGGTTTTTGGAAAGTGCTTTTTGGTGGTCTAAAACGGTGAGATGTGAGATTTTATTGACCCAAACTTTTGATTTATTTTGCACTGAACATGTAGCATCTTTTAGTATGCATAACTCTTGAAGCACTTCACAATCAGCTTCTGAAACATTTAAATATGGCTTCTCTATACCCCATGCATCTCTTCCTATAAAGCACAATTAAAATGCTTTCAGGGTATGTACTGTATATGGTAATAAATATTGTTTATCTAGGGCAGTGATGGCGAACCTTTTAGAGACCGAGTGCCCAAAAACCGCCCCTGCCCCTCCAGCCCACCCCTGCTCTACTCCTGCCCCGCCCCACCCCTGCTTTGTCCCCACCCAGCCCACCTGCAGGGCCACTCACTGCCTTCATGGCCTGCCACAGATTGCCCAGGTGGTCCAACAGCGCCATGGTGGCCACACCCTCCGCCCGTGCCCCACAGCATCAATTGCGCGTGACAGGGCGTGAGAGCGGAGTCTTGTCCCCGCTGCCCAGCTGCCATGTCATTGGCTATGCTGCTCTGTGCGGGCCATGCTTGAGGGTGACTCTCCTCCAGGGGGGGCTGCTGGTGAGGAGGGGGCCATGTGGGGAGGCGGGGCTGGGGCAATGGCACATGTGCCCACAGAGAGTGCTCTGAGTGCCGCCTCTGGCACGTGTGCCATAGGCTCGCCGCCACTGATCTAGGGGAAAAAACCTCTGCTGAAATGTAGAATCCCCAAGAGCAGGTAGAACTTTTATGTATTACTAGGGATCAACTATAAAGTCCTACTGGAGACACATTATAGGAGGATAAAAATCAAGTATGCAAAATTACTATTACTGACTGCACACAATAAGCAAACTTGTTTGAAACAAGAGAATTTGGTCAAATAGTTCAACAGTCTTTGAGATCTTCCAATGCAGAATTCCAAGGTGATTGGTCACTAAGCAAGTCCTTCTCTACATAAATGCACACACATACCCACACACACACACAAATGTTGAAAGGGAGAAGAGGGGAGAGGGAGGAGGGAGGGAGGGAGGGAGAGGGAGAGAGTATAAATACCATGTTTCTGTTGTTTTCTTAAACGATTTCACTAAAATCCTCCAGTATGTCACAAATGACACTGAAATGATTTTATTTCATCTTAGTATGCACCAAGATGCTACAGGATATGTTTGCCTTTTGATTCAGCCTGCCAAGAAAGTAGATGCTGGTTGGTACACTTTGTCTGCCAAAAATGAAGTCGGCATTGTCTCTTGCACTGCTAGACTTGACATATATGGTAAGTAGCCCAAACTTTAGGAATAAATGAACAAAATGTATGGTAGATACGTGATCAGTCTTAATTCTGTATTTGTTATCTCTCCTACTTTCCCATTATGACACGTTTGTGTGATTACTACTTTTTGCTTACTGCTCATCATTTATGATAGCACCATAAAATCATAGGGCTGGAAGAGAACTTGGAGCTCTTCTAGTCCAACCCCCTGCGCAAGGCAGAAATCCTTATACCATCCTGGACAAATGGCTGTCCAATCTTTTCTTGAAAATCTCTAGCAATGGATCACCCGCAGCTCTGTGAGGCAAGCTGTGCTATTGATTAATTGTTCTCACTGTCAGGAAATTCTTCCTTGGTTCCTGAAACATGAAATACGACAACAAAACCATTAAAAATTTAATGACATACAGTGAGATTCTTTGTAGCAGTCAGGAGCAAAGTTATTCTAGATGAAGATGTGTTCTTTAAGAGTTTATGAAATTGAACAGAGAAGATGCATCATTGAAGGCAAGGATGCTCCACGCTATAAGAACCATCAATGGGAAGAATCCTGCTTAGATAATAGCCCTGAGGACTCAGCCCTCCTTAGATTTCAACGGGCCAGCTAGTGCATGCCAAGAGAGATGTTGAAATAGATCTTTAGGCTCAAAAGCATTTAGGGCAGTAGTGGATGATAGTAATATATTAAAATAGTATTTGGAATTTTCACATTATCCTAGCTGCCTAAAGTTTTTGGAGCAACTTCAAGGGCATTTAGCACACCGTTCTGTAATCTGCCTTAGGCTTTTCACTTTCAAACTAGGGATATCTCTTTTTACAACCTTTATACATCAGGGCTTTTCAACCAGTGGTACTCATACTATTGGTGGTACTTCAGCACCTGGCAGGTGGTACGCGACCAAGACAAGTATAGCAGGGGGAATGAGCTGAAGTGGCGGCAGCACCAGAAAGACCTGGGGGAGAGTCAGCTGGAGCTGCGGTGTTTCTGGGGCTCTGCTGGGGGGCCACGATCGGTGCGTGTTGCTCCAGCTGATTGGCACTTCCCGCAGTCTTGGGGGTGGCAGGAAGCTGCACACAGTCTTCGGGCGGAGAGTCAGCTGGAGCTGCAGTGTTGCTGGGGCTCTGCTGAGGGCCCAGGATCGGCACGCTCAGCTCCAGCTGATTGGCACTTCCAGCAGCGTCTGCTATCACCAAGAGCAGCAGACATGCCTTGGGGTGAGAGAGTCCGCTGGAGCTGAAGGGCTGCGGGGGCTCGGCAGAGGCCCCAGGATTGGCGCGCAGCTCCAGCTGATCAGCGCTGTTTGCAATGGCCAGCCGGGGAGTGGGTGACTACATGGGGAAGTGAGACTGAGGTAGCGATCGATGCTGGAGCTCTCCCTGAACCCCAGAGAGTGGCGGACCTGGAAGAGAAAAGGAGAAGGAAGGGGACGAGAGAAGAGGATAAAAAAGGAGGCTGTTTTGACAGGACATGGAGAGAGAAAAAGACGACAGGGAAAGAGAAGGGGATGGAGAAAGAGGGAGGGAGAAGAGGACAGGCTTCTATGAGACAAGTAGAAGGATTAATGAAAGAGTAGAGTAGAGGCTGTGAAAGAGAGAGAGAAGAGAGGGAGAGAGGAAGAAGGGCTGACCAGCTACCTGACCACCAAGGTAAGTGGTGCATATTAATAAATATGGATAAATTCGTCAAATGTTCATCAGTGCAAAGGGAAAGTGATTCAGCAAAGGAACCATCACCTTTTTTGGGGGGTCATCAAGTTTTTGACACCTTGCTAAGCACTGGTGGTACTCAAATATTGTCATGTCCTCAAAGTGGTAGAATCTGTGAAAAGGTTGAAAAGCACTGCTATACATAACCTAAAAGAGATCCCCAATAGTCATAGCCTACATTCATGCCATTATTTTTATTTTTTGCTTCAGCCCAATGGCATCAACAGATCTCTCAGCCAATCAAGTTTCGTTCAAGCAGCACCCGGTATGCAAATCTTACAGGACAAGGACTCGACATTTTCTCTGCTTTCTCCACTCTTGAGAATCCAGCACGCTTTTTGTCTCCCTCCCAGCCTGTGGTAGAAAGTGAAGAACTGTGAGGGAAAAGGTTCAAATTCTCCCTGAAAATAAAGAAACACTAGAACCGCGAAAGGGAATGGAAGAGACATGCTGAAACATTTAAGGTTTACAGCTAATATAACTGATAAGCAGTAAAGATGTTGAGATTCAGTGCAGCATCATGCTATGGAGTTGTTGTGGTATAGAATATACTGCAACGAATTTTGTGCTGTGTTACTTTTGTTCCACCGGTTATGAAGAAAAGCAACCTAGTTTTCAGCTGTTAAGTAAAAAAGCTGTGTCCATTTTCCTGCTAAGGTTTTAAGGCAGCAAACAGGCACTTGGTTAAGATTTGGATAGCTGTCTGAAAGTTACCAAGAAGGACATTTACAGTGGTGGTAATCATTCTGATGCTGGAGAAACCAAATGCAGGGGCATCTGGAAGGGGAAAGAGGCTCGAAAAATCAAGATGGTGGTTTCCAGTCAAGATGGTGGTTTCCACCACGCTACCATGACACCATCTTACTTTTTGGATCCCCTACATAGACCTCTAAGTCCCTGATTTTGAATACAGCGTTTTAAGGATGGCTGGTAGTCACAAAACACAGATCCAATGCCAGGGGGGAAAAAAACTGTGACTGCTCAGTTCGCTAAGGATTCATACAAATGAAACAATTAGCCAACCCAAAACTAGATACAGTATGTATAGCATTTCAAATAGAAACTGCTTCTAAATAATAGAATTTTTAAAAAGTGTGACTCTATACTCATGAATCTTGCACCCAAAGAGGGCTCTTAATATTAGTGTTAAGGTGCCCTGTTGTTAGGCTGCAAGCATACGCTTACCTTAAAGTAAGTCCACTCAACTATAAAAGACTTACTTCTGAGGGCTATGTATAGGATCATACTGCAACTAGCTATAAACAAGCTTATGTACCACAAAGCCCATATTATAGCCATCCCACAGCTCCCAATGGTATATACATTTTAAAGCATGCTTTCTTCTTCTTCTTCCATATTTAGAAATCAATGTTTGAACAAAAACAAAAATGCCTTGCATGTTGTTTTTGTTTCTTTGGTCTTTAGATAGGATTTTTTTCCCTATCTTCAGAATCCTACATAACTTGCTTATACACATACATGTACCTATTGTCAAAAATGGGTTAGGATATTAAGACCTTCCCTTTAAATTATACCCTTCTTGCAGACATGGTTGGGTCTGGATTATTGCATTTCCCCTTTTTTCCTACTTGGCAATAATCCTGCTTCCTTAACCTCTATTTTTCCAGATGTTGAGCATCCAGATGTAGGTGTACAGAAAATAAAATTATTCTGTAGATGACACTAATTAAACAAAAAGCAATTGTCATCTAATCCAAACTTATCAATGCAACTTCATTCATGTTGGATATTGATTGAGCTCCCATATTTAAAACAAATAATTAAAAGAGGCCATAAAGCAAAGAGATTTTGTTAGCATATGCTTTTATTCAATATATTCTAAATGAAGACCCATTAAAGTTTGAAATACATATTAGCATATAGCTTAAGCTATAACTCAGATATCTGATGCTAATTTCACTGTGAAAGAATAATTTTTTTCCATCGGATTTGCCAAAGACCATTGTAATACTGGGTATTATTAGCAGTGAATTAGCAGTTATTGGCTATATAATTTACACAAAGTCTCAGTCCTTTAAAAACTATAACCAAATTAAAATCCAGGATTAAAATATTTTGAACTGTGCATTAGTAGTAGGAATTCACTGGCATTAATTGCGGCATTTTATAATCCAACCTTCCCACAATAGCCAAACCTATTTTCTTTTTGGGAGTGTTTGAGTCAGACAGAAAAGGAGATTTTCTAGAAAGTTACAGTCACCACACATTCAGAAAGAGGAAGCCTGCTTTAAATAGTTTTTCCCACTAGTGTTTTCCATGTATTTGGGGCTACAGCATGCTGAAACTTATCATCCCCACGTAGCTGGAGAATTCAGGATTGGAGAAAGAGGTACAGTATGTGCCTTAAAAATAAGAGGTACAGTATGTGCCTTAAAAATAAATTTCAATGAAGATAGAATATTTCATCAAAATATTTCTAGTAGTCATCAACTAATGACCACACTTGGGATCAGAACATCCGTCACCCCTGATTTTATGCCCTTTTTGCTGTGGTTGTTAAGTGAATTACCATGGTCATTAAGCAAATACAGCTTCCCCCATTGACTTTGCTTGTTGGAAGCCCCTTTGCAAGATCACAAATGACACTTACACGATATCAAGATGCTGCAACCGGCATAAATACTAGCCGTTTCCCAAGTGCCTGAATTTTGATTGCATGTCCACAGGAACACTGTGATGGTCGTAAGTGCACGGGCTGTCATAGGACAATTTTTTTCAGTGCCATCATAATTTTGAATGGTCATAGGTCGAGGACTACCTGTATGAGATTTCCGATAACTGTTGACCCTGGGAATAATATTTCTGTGACTTCTGTCATTTCTTCCTAGTTATCAGAGGTGGGTGCCAAATTTTTGAAAGAAAAATCTTCATCAGAATCCAGTCCAAGCTGGGAATAAACAAAATGGAGACTGCTTTAGAAAGAAGGTTGTAGTTTATTGAAGAGGAGAGCCAGACAGAAAGATGACTCTGGGAAAGCTGACCACATGTAGTAGGGAGTGGTGGGTTTTTATACCTTCTTGGGCTTTTGTTTGGAGTTGTTCCTGTGACATGAATTTTGACCTGAGTCTGAGTGTACCTTTCTGGTATTCTGATGGTGGTGGGTTAATCCTATTATATCCCAAAGGTCATATCCTGCTTCCCTGGGGCTGGGGCTGTGGCTGATGACTGTTGGATTTTTTTGTGTGAGGGATTGTTGATTCTAGGGATCTTTGTCTTTCTAATCCCAGCTTCCTGGCTCCAATTTTTTTGACAAGATTATCACTTCTGCATTTCTGCAGACCTGGTTTCTGTTTGGGGCAGAGAGACTTGGGGGGGGGAGTTAGTTTCTGCTTTTAAGATCCTTTGGGGAAATATATTCTGCCTTTTTAATATTTCCCAAAATATTTATTTCTCTGGATTCTTCCCACAGTATTTATTTCTGCACATATGGACAACTTTAAGAAGGGTGACTTTCTTAACTCCCAGAATTCCCAGCCACACTGAAGCTGCCTATCAAAATAAAATGGAATCTATTACCGGCAATCTACTCTAATAGCTATGGTTGACTTCAGGCTGCCAATGAGATAAAAGGAACATTATGGTAGACGGGCCAGGAAAGAAATATTGCTGGGGAATGCCAAGGCTAGAGAACAGGCGGAGAAACCCCTGCTGGCTGGGGAATTCTGGGAGTTGTCATCCACACATCTTCAAGTTGCCAAGGTTGAGTAATACAGATTTAGATTCTGGCGTGATTGCCATGAGATCAGGCCAGTGGTGGGACTGAAATATCTGAACAACCGGTTCTCTTACTGGATGCAGGCCTGGGCGTCCGAGGCCTGGAACAGACTTCCAGAAGTGGCATCCATGCACTTCCGGCAAGCCAATCTAGGCCTGGGAGACCTCCTCCAGGCCTGCTAGGCCTAGACTGGACTTCCAGAAGCAGTGTGCATTCAGCCGGTTCTCTGAACTCAGCAAAAATTTAACTACCGGTTCTACTGAACCGGTGCAAACCGGCTGAATCCCATCACTGGATCAGGCTATTTCATTAAAATTCTGAATGTTCTTATAGAGCAACTGAAGTTTCCCAAATGAGCAGAACATGAGAAGGTTCTTCTAAACTTTGATCAAGAGAACAGTACTTTGTTCCAAACAGATTTGTAAATCAAGGATCACTTTAGACAGTTCCTATAAAGAAAGATGGAAGATATCCCTTAAGTGATAAAGAAATGCTGTTCTTGTATCCAGGTAGCTTAAACAGAAATATGGTGGCATAGAAAATAGAAGGTATTATGTGACAACAATAATATATCTCAGCAGCAGAGGGCTTCACTGAAGTATTGTAACTTCCCCAAATTTGGTAAAAAAAAAAAAAAAGTCTAATTTCATATGGAAAATGTTCCAGGAGAAAAATTGAGTATGCCTGAAAATTCAGATATAAATTAATGAATATCACTGATTAGGTAAATATAATTGTCATGTATTGAAATACATTTGCGAAAACATATGTATCTCCTGTAGCACAAATTTAATGACTCAATATTTAGAAGAAGAAGAAAAGGCCATTTACACAACAGCAATTCCTTGCAATTTTTTTTTCTCAAAAACGTTTTATTAATTTTGAACCCCCCATACAAATACAATTATAAACATACATTAGTATATCTACCCATCTTCCCTCCCCCACCCCCCATCCCCCACCCCAACTTCCCAGAACTAATTACAGGATTAGGCACACATAAAAGAAAAGAAAAGAAAAAAAAACTTTAGCTCAAATAATCAAAATATAATTATACATCTTCCCCAAATCCAAATATCTAAAAATTAAACTTAGCCATTTCTACAGAAATAAAAAATGAAAATTAGCAACTAGTCTTATTACTATTAATCATATCTTAAACCCATTAAATACAATCTTTAACTTCCTTTAAAAGTATAAATCCTTTAAAATAGTACAATTATATATCATTAATCATCTAATCTCTTCTTTAATCTCAAATACTTGTCTTTTAGATTAAATTTTTGTTTAGTTCATACTTTCAGTCTAAAACAATATTATCCTTTAACACAATAAAAAATTCAAGACCATTAATATTCCCAATCAAAAATTTTAAGAATAAAAAACTTTCAAGACATTCATATAAATTTATCCTCCTGAATCTCTTCACTCTGCAATTCCTTGCAAATTGATCAGTGTTGGACTCAGTGGAATTTAGCCAGGACTTTAATTCAGTTTATTTGGAATATAGAAAGCAGCCCTTCCTTGATATGTGTAATTGATATCAAATCAACTGAGTAGGTAGATTTATGTGAAAAAAGGCCATTGAAGCTATTGATATTACTGAAAGACAATGTCTTTCAGAATTGCCAGAGTTTTCTTCTTGCAGAAGACCGTTTTATTTCTCTTTATTTATTTTATAAACTAGAACCTAAACTTTGCACTAGAAACAGGTCCTTTCATTTTATGTAGCTAAAGCCATCCCTACCAATTTCCACAAGGAAAGAAAGGTCATGGAAGCAAAATAAATCTACTTTTTAAAAAAAAAAATCCTTGCTGACTTAATAAGGATGCTGAGTAGATGTGTGCTTCCAAATCAGGGAAGCTAGAATAAATGGGTATTGATCCCTGGAAGAATATTCACTGTCATAATCAAATCATCTCTTTCATAAGCCATTCAATCTGCTTGAAGGAGGTGGAGGATGAAGGAACAGGATGAAGGAGAAAGAAGAGGTGGGAACAAGAAATACATGGCTTGAATGAAAGTGCATTCAGGATTGAATGGAGCTCAATAGCTTCTACAAAGCACTGTTTCTCAACCATGGTAACTTTAAGACTGGTGGGCTTCAATTCCCAGAATTCAGCATGACTGGCTGAGGAATTCTAGGAATTGAAGCCCACACATCTTAAAGTTGTAAAGGTTGGGAAACGCTGCTACATATTCTTCTATTAATGCAGGGGTCCCCAACCCCGG